CCCCCCCCCCCCCCCCCCCCCCAACTGTACCATGCCACCACTCTTCCGCGACCGACTACACCGGCACGCACGAACGCACGAACCTGCAGCACAGTGACGACGGCAGCGTCAAGGTAGTCTGCCTCTGGCGCCTTGGTGTACAGGATGTCCACGGGGTACATGTGTCCCGGGAAGATGAATATGACTGCATCGTCGAAGAACTTGGAGAACTTCTCGGCGTCCAACGTGGCCGACGAGATGATGAGCTGCCTCGCGCACCAACAAAAGAGACGACAGGTAGACACGAAGAGGCACGCGAGAGAGGAAAGGGAGATAAAAATGAAGTGAGGCGGTAGATAAAATATGGATAAAGAAGGAAGGAAGAAAGAAGGAGGAGGAGGACGAGAGGCCAGGGAGAGAAGAAAGGGAGAGAAAATCAACTTCTACGTGGCAGCGCATGTGGTGAGAAACGGGCGCACTCGGCAACACGAGACGATAGATAGACAGATAGACAGATAGATGGATGGATGCATGGATAGGAAAAGGAGCAAGGCCGAGTGGCACGAGAGGGAAGAACGGGAGACAGAATGAAGGTGCCGACCATTGTAGGTGTAGCTTTGAGGCGAGAAAAAGACGAAGAATCGATCGGGAGGGTCGTGAACTACATAAGAAACACGATGACCAGGAAAAAAAAAACTGACAAAACCAACGCGCACTCGCACTTCGAAAACAACATCCACTACTGTGGATTGATATCATGACACGCATGCGAAACGGGCTCCACTAAGGCACCCCGCAGGTATACATGGAAACAAGGCATCGAGAGCAACAGCCCTGAACAACTAGAGCGACGATACCGAAGAATCAAGCCACAAACACCCACCGACGAAACAAGGACAGCAGATGAGCAGGCTTACAAAAAACGCATGGGGCTACAGACAAGGCAGGCAGACAAGACAGAACCAACATAATGACGCGCAAATAATACCAAAATCCCGAAACACAGAAGTAATGGAACGTTTTTCACACCAACAACAAAGCACAAAAAAGCATTACCACCGCACAAGCTCGAAGGACGGTCTGAATCCGGAGATGTCTTTTTAAGCAGCCCGAACAACCAAGCAAAACACACACACGCACATCTCACGAAATAGGAACGTCAGACGAGTAAGCGCGGGGCAATGAACAAGACAGACAAGACGTACACACCAAGAGAACGTGTTACAAAAAAAAAAAAAAAAGCAAGTGGAGCACCCACACCAAACGCAAAAAAACAACAATATTCACAAAAAAACGCTATTAATAAAAAAACTCGCCTTAAAGTCCGGTCTGAATCTGGAGATGTCCTTCACCAGGCCGAACAAAACGTCCGTGTGGAGAGTCCTCTCGTGGGCCTCGTCGATCATCATGACGCTGTAGCCCCCGAGGTCTGGCTCCGTCAGCAGCTCACGCAGGAGCATGCCGTCTGTCATGTACTGTTCAAGACACAAAACGAGGGCATGTGTGTTGCTTTTTTTTTGTCATCCCGCTTGTCTTGGATGTCGGCCGTTTCACCTCTTTAAATTCATTCTGGGCGCATCAGCCGGAGTCACACAAGAGGAAGGCCACCCACGATTTTTTCTCCGACTTCCTTGTGCGGTCCGAGTAATGGTGGCACTCCAAGAGGGAGCAACGGTGGTATAACGATGAAAAGCGCGACAAAGGTTCTAACGCCGCGGCAAAATACGTATTCGGCGTCTGGCACCACAGTTTTTTTTAACAGGCGTGCATGTACAACGGCAAGCAAGGTGCCAAAAGTATAGAGGAAGAAGGCCACCCGTCATGTACTACACCTCCAACCGGAACCGAACACATGCCGCCCACAGGTGCTGTCGAGAGAAAAGCCTCCAGGGATTCGCGTCGAAGTAACGATACATTGAAACACCGGCTCGAACGGCAACCAAACAAACGATGGACTTGTGCCAACGACAGCAAAGCAAGAAAAGACTGGTGAAGCACGCACCGCAAATGACAGCTGTGAACGCTTACCATCATCAACAACAACAACAACAACAACAACAACAACAACAACAGCCGGGGGTCATGAGCCTGACCTTGACGACGGTCGCGTCGCTCGTGCAGTCCTCGAACCGGATGCTGTAGCCGACCTCCTGCCCGAGCTTCTTGTCCATCTCCTGGGAAACGCGAGCCGCCACCGACATCGCCGCCACCCTTCTCGGCTGCGTGCACCCTACCTTGCCCACCTTCGTGTACCCCACCTACAAAAGGAAAAAAACAGGAAAACACACACACAGCGAAACGGAACAAAGAAACAAAAAACGGGTAAATGTTATTCTCGAACGTGGACAAATGTCGAAGTGACAAACCTTCGAAGTTGGGAAATTGGAAAGAATATTGAATAATTGAGAGTCGAGAGAAAAACAGGGGGAGGACGAAACGTGTACAAAATGCACGCAGACGAATCAAAGAAAGTAATACCCTAAAAAAAAAAAAACAGGTAGATTGAACAAAGAAAAAACTTCAAAGCTGCGAAACGGGCAAGCAAACAAGACGTGATCGTGCAAACGCATCCTCGCGAGAAACACCGAAAAAGCAACTCAAACCAAGTCGTGTCGCTTCCGTTCGCCACTGACTCTCGGTTTTGACTACAGCTCCGCCACACAGCGGTGCATAAGAGATGCTCCAAACACATTGTTAAGCGGTTCATTCCACCAACCATCGAGCGGGCTCGCCTGTGTACGCCTGAAAAGCGAAGACTAAAGCTTGACACTCGAAGCGTCAGGAAGTGCACTATTTAGCACTAATCTATGATTGTCGGCTGATTGTAGCCCCCAACGCAAAACCTCAACCTTACAATGCGTAGCCCACGAAAGTATGAAAGTTGGCCCTCCATCGCCGCCAATGGAAACAGGCTCTCTCACTCTCTCATTCGCACACAAGTGTTGCCACTGTCACAGCAGCGGTAATCTCTAGCGGAAAAAAAACGTTTCGCCACCACCGGACAGAACAAAAATAGCTACAATAATAGCTTCACACAACTGTGAATCTCATGAATGTGGACACCAGCCATCTTACGTGCACGACGCCTTTGTCTTCCTCCCTGCACAAAACCCCGAAGCCGAAACCCGCATTACTTCAATTGGCCAGCCGGCCACGCTGTCGATGCGTACAGAAACAGACCAGTGGTGAAAAAAACACACACACCTCGTGAAGATACTGCGGGAGCTGAGTTGTTTTCCCCGAACCGGTCTCTCCCACCACCACTAGAACCTAAAGAAACCCAACGAGAACACAAAAGAAGGTCACGGCGAGCGGGGCCGAGGAGAGCGATAAGTCAAGGTCAAGTTCAATGGATGGTGGTGTGACATACATTAGCGCCGTATACTATCCCAATACCACGAGCATGTTCCAGAGTTGAGAATGCCTTGCGAATGAACAAGCAGCTTGAAAAGAGTAACAGGTTCGTGACATGTCACGTTTCAGGTACGATATCCCACGGGGAGAAGGGGGGCACAAGCCTCGCTTCAAACTTGAGAGCGTAAGCGGAAATTGAAGGTCCGGCGGACAGAGAACAGGAGCGGTTCTGCTGTATCAACACCCCGGGCAAAGGCAGCAAACAAATGAAGTGACTGAAGGAACGCGGGGAAACTCCTGCTGGCCAGCTCAAAATAACGCCTCTAACCGAAAACAAAGCCCCTCTCGCAACGGCAACAACAATAATCGCTGTGGGTGATAGGGCGCGTTCAAAGAACAACGTCAACGCCGGAGCACACCTCTCAAGCGCGTGGCTAGAGAAGTGAAACCAGACTGGAAAAAAGACAGCCAGGTGTATAGATTCGAGACCACATGCTTCCAGAGACTCACTCCGCGTTAACCACCACCGCAGACTACTCGAGGCCGCCGCTTCGTGTCACGCGGCGTTACAAGTACGTAGGTACCTGGTGATCTCTAACCGCCTCCAGAAACTCTTCCCGGTACTTGAACACCGGCAGACGCTTGCGGAGCGCCAGTATCTCCTCGTGAGCCGTTAGCTTCCTTCCGCCCGGGGCCCCCGGCGCTGCACTCCCGCCCGGTGGGGCGTCGACATCTGTGCGGCACCCCCATCAATACCGCAGGCAAAAAAGTGTATAAGTGGGCACGTGCGCTGGTGTTGGGTTTTGTGTACTTGTGGTGTGTTTCTGCTGTTGTTGTCATTTCTGCTGCTGCTGTGGAGTGTACAACCTCCGGTCCCCGCCCCAAACAATTTCCCAAGTGTCACTACATATGCCGTACAATTGTCCAATTTACAAACATGAACATGAAGACAACGTGTAACCATTCCACGCGGAGGCACGAGAGATGCAGTACGTCTACATGCACTGGCGTCGGCGCGTCGACTTGTCCCCTGTCTGTCCTCCGACAAAAAACGAAAAAGAGAGTATACAACAGAGACAAAATCACGTGGTAAATGGCAGTCAACTACACACGCTGTGCTGCTGTACCTGCGGAGTCATCGCTGCTGTCGCCGCCCTCGGAGGAGCCTCTGTCCCCTCTGGGTCTCTTCCTCCCTTTCCGCCTGGGAGAACAGGAAGGAAACACATGCCGTACCAGGTATTCACAACCATGTCAAGAACAAAGATCAAGATCATTTCCATTCAATCACTAACTATCTTCACAATTTTCCACAGCAGGAACATAGATGTGCTTGTGTCGTTCACCAACATTTCAATACAATTAGCGATTTTTCGTTTGGGGGAAGCCATGCCCAGTCTTGTGTTGTCTGTCACATTTTAAGATTTTGATTGTGCGTCTTATTATTTATTGTTTTGCAGTAGTAGATGAAGACTGCTATTTTGCACCGCCGTGGTAGGGTGCGAGCATGTTTGCAGTCCTCCACCCCGAAAGCATCAAGACACGGACGTGATTTTTTTGCCACACAGCTCCAAGGACGAAGTCGATTGCGCCTCAACATGACATGCAAACCGTGAACTACTTCGGATACAAGTAACCCTTTACGAACAGCCAACACCGGCAACACAATAATCCATGGGCAAGCCAGATCCGATGGATACCCGGCGCTGTGCCCGTGTGAGTTGAGGCCTCACGTTAGCTTTTGCTGCAGCACCTCCTGGGAGACGAAATCTATGCTGTCCTCGAAAACAAAGTCGTACTCGTCTTCCTTCTTGCCCTTGCTCTTGAGCATCGCGGCGTGTCCCACCTGAACATAGGGGCACCGCGATTGGGATAGAGAGAGGGGGGGGGGTAACATGATGAGGAAGTGAACGGTATTCTCAAAGTGACTTGTTAAGTTCCGCGAACGGGAAAGGCTTCTGTTAAGCTCTCGTCGGGAATGGATCCGAGCGGCACCAGCGATCGACAAACAACCGGCGACAGCACGACAACAACCGGGGAAACGGTACACACATCATCACCGACGCCATCTGCCAACAGAGGCAACAGCAACAACGACCGAATAGCACAAAGCCGCCGTCGAGAAGAAACCTCTGTCTTTCTGCCTATTTCTCTGTCTGTCTGTCTGTCTGTCTGTCTCGCTCCCTCTCTCTCTCTCTCTATTTCTCTTTCTCTCTCTCTCTCTGTGTGTCTCTGTCTGACCCTCTCTGCCTTTGGACTCTCTCTGTCTGACTCTCTCTGCCTTCGGTCTCTCTCTTTCTCTCTCTCTCTTTCTCCCTCTCTCTCCGTCTGACTTTCTCTGCCTTTGGCCTTTGGCCTTTGGTCTCTCTCTTCGACTCACTTGCTGCTCTTCCCAGAGATCCTGCTCCGTCTTCACTTCTCCCTCCACCTCCTGATACCTGTCCAAACCGCGCAGCGGCGAAAAAAACGGGGCGGAAAATGAGAGAGGGGGATCGGCACAAGATCAGCACAAGACGCACCTCGGGGGTGGTGGGGCAGACTCCCGCGAAAATTGGGGGCACTGCGCCAAAAAGGCAGTACCGTGGGTTGCATAAGATACCACACACCCCGGAATGATTTTCAAAGCTTCATTACTCCACGACGAAGAGGGTGCCGAAACCAAAGGATACGTTTTTGGAAAGCCCTCTCTCGACGAGACGCTTCCAACGCCGACACTTTCGGCACCGTCACTGTTTTTCCTGCCGAAATCGAGGTTTGAAAATCGGAACACGGGGTGTGATATCTTATGTTATGCAACCTACGGTGGAGATGCCCATGGCACTACAAGTAAATTTGTTATTTTCCTCCCGCTTGCGCTTACAAAGAGGAGCAATAAAGGCAGGCAAGCATTGCCGAAGAGCTGCCGTCCGGGGTCTTGACAGGTCAAAATTTTCTCCAGCGGTGCGCATGCCTCCCTTCACAACAAATAACCCCCCCCCCTTCCCCCAACTGCACTGACGCACGACCCCCCCCTCCCGCCGCCCCGAAAAAAAAACAAAACACCCCCCTTCACGCACGCAGAGGACACCAACCCTGGCGCCCTACTATATACATGCACAAAGCAGTGATCACGACGCCACGCCCCCCCCCACGCGGTGCTTCCACGCTTGGTGACGCGCTATCATAGCCTGAGGCGATGAATACCCGGCGTGCTCCGCCCCAACTGCAAAGTCAACGGTCTTGAAGAACACTCCGGCATGCAAGGCTGTGACCGGATACCCACCTCGCCGTAAGCGCGTCCTCCCTTTTCCGGCTGTCGATCCTCCCCTGCTCGTCCTCGTAGGCATCCGGGAGTTGGTAGGCGTCCGTCTTGGGGGCGTGCCTGTTGGGGTCCTTGGCTAGCTCCAGCACCTTCTTCGACACCTCTATCTTCTTCTTCTCCGCAGCGGTGAGCTCCACCCCTGTTATATAGCGTCAAAAAACAATCGGGGGGGGGGGCAAAACCGAATCTTGAGAACGCCTTCCAAGGCATTCCTCTCTGATCTTGAAAAACCCAAGGAAGCCTTGGCCAAAACATCGGAACCAATACGCCTCTAGACCGGAACACCCCCCCGCCCCCCCCCCCGAAAAAATATCATATGTGTAGGTTATATCTTACGGTTCTACAATTTCCGGTTCCCAGCAGACGTCAGCTTGTTCAGCCTACCACAAGAAGAGCGACCTATTTCTTGTTTGCCGTATTCAAGGTATTGGGCGCAACGGAGATCCGTATCTCTGGTAGCTATGACGGATCACCCTCACCCTCGTTGAGGAAGAGGCTCTCCTCGTCTTGAAGCTGCGCCTCCAACAGCTTCAGCTCCTTCTCCGCCCTCTTGGGCAGGTACATCTGGCGGCTAATCTCTCTCAGCTCCTTCGTCGTCAGGTCCCTCTGCTCGCCCGATTCCGACGTCACCTTCCCCCTCGTCGCCAGCTCAGAGATCTGCGCAGAGCCGTGATTCGAAAAAAAAAAAGGCAAGCCACAAGGTGGTCGTAGCGACGGCAACAACAACAGCAACGCACCAAGCATGCAACGAAGCAATCCGTCCCGATAGACTGCCCCCCCCCCTCCCCGCCCCCCCCCACCCTAAGCAAAAACAAACTCCGTAAAACCAAGCACCATGTGTTTTTTCCCATTGTTTATTTTTTTGCGTGCCACGACCAACCGACCGACCGGCCGACCGGCCCAACATACCTGTGCCGGCGTCAAGCCCCCCAGCTCCATCTGTTTTGTCTTGCTCTTGTCCTTGTCCAGCATCCTCTCCACCAGGGCGTCCCTCTCGTCGCGGTCGCGCTCCCGCTCCAGCTCCAGACGGTCCTCCTCCGTCACCTCCTGCAACGTACGTATGTATGTAACATGAGCAGCGTAGCGCCAACACCAACACAGCGATTTGGTGGGAGTGTAGCCGCTTGGTTGGTTGGTTGGTTGGTTTCGTTTTTACCGCTGCTGCAAGGTTGGCGTGCACGGTCTCTCGATGTGATGCCATGCAGCAGCAGCAGCAGCAGCAGCAACAGCAGCGGTAGAGAAAATTGGACACGGGGGTACGCTCATCCCCAGCTTGAAACCTTGAGCGAGACTGGCCTGTCAAGTTCCGGTCGCTCCTCTCCCATTCTTAACTCTTGTTTTTGCCTGAAACTCGGGGCTCTTTGTATTTTCGGTTCATTGACAACAAAAGCCCTCCTAGACAACCTCTTATTTTTTGGCTGCATAGACGACAGCAGTAGAAAATGAGTGGCGGGGGAGGAAATAGGAGAGCCAGGCTCTCCTTTTCTGTTGGGCTACCACAGGAGACCGTATCAAAAATCCGTACACGGCTTGCAGCGTGGGAGTTGTCAGGTGGGCAGGCGTCGTCGTTCAACAGGCAAAAAAATCCAAAAAGCTTTCAAGCATTTCTGCTCTTCTTCCAAGTCTCAGGCGAGGCGAGCGAGAGGGCGGTCCAACAGACGGCACATGTTCGTAACAACGCACAGCGACAAAAAGCAACGTGCGCAAGTAAACGCACTCACCTTCTCAGGCTCTGGGCGAGCTCTCCTCGCCCGGATAACGGTGTCGTCCTCCGAAGATTCGCCGTCGTCCCCGTCCCCCCCTCCCCGTCTCCTCCGCCGTCCTCCCCCCTTCTTGTTGCTATCTCGTCCTATCCCTGAAGAAGAGACTTCGGCGGCGGCAGCGGCGGCCTTCTTTTCCCGTTTCCGTAACGCCTTTTTCTCGGCCCGTCGGTCTTCTTTCGCCTGGCGTAAAATAGCACGGGGGG